CATGTCACTGTATTTCATTCCTATATAAAATAAAATGAAATCAATACAAACTTGTTCTTGTTAACAGTCTCTGCATGGAAATTACTGTAATTATCTCATAGCCACGCATTATTGTCCTGACCCAAACTCCCAAGCATCAACACACACACACACACAAGCTTATATAGGCTTTTTTTTTCTCCTCACACACACACTCTTTCCTTTTCCCCTTGGACAATTGTGTTGCTCATTCTTCACTCTGGTGGAAGCCAGTCATTTCCACATGTGTGTTGGCTCATAAAACAGCAAAGYGCCGACTAAAAGCATCCCTTTCCTGACTCGCAGGGTCACAATTTGACTGCATAAACACAGGACACACCTTTTAGTCTAACAGTTTGCACATATCCTCTTCTTTTTTTAAAAAAAAATCTCTCAAAGCGGCCCAGAATGAAAAGTAACTTGCTTTAAGCCTTTTACAGTGACRTTTTCTCCCATTTTTTTAAAAAGAGAAATCCTCCTGAAGCCAAGCTGAAGACTGCAGCTGGTGCCTTTTGTGTCCCCCCAACGTGCCTCGCGCTGGGTTTCCCGAGTATTGTCATGACAACAGCGCGCGCGCACCGACACTGGCCTTTGAAAACAATACCGACACAAGTTAACTTTGTAGAAGGGAAGAAAAAAAAAGTTCAAACTCATTTATGACAGCGGTTTTAGAGAGGGGGGGGAAAATACCAGCGAAAGAACAGGAGTCTTGAAAGAGAAGACAAAAAGGTAGCCTCATTCTCTTACCTTTTTAAGTTGACGAAAGTTTTGTAAGTATTCCGATTAGCTGCCGTGTGGCGGCGTTTGTCTTTGCTGTAAGCTAGTAAAAGTTATTTTATTTTATTTTTGAAGTTTGCTGTGTCCTGACGGCGAGACTTGTAGCTTGTGTGAAAGCAAAGCAGCGACCGTCCAGCCGCAGGGTGGCTACACTTCCTCCGCCCCGGCTCCTTCTCCCTGCTGCCGCCTGTGTCTGTCAGGATGCTTCGCTCCGCCTYATTCAGCTCCAAAGGTAAATAAATCACTGGGATGTGACCTGACAGCTCCCCCCCACACCACATCCGTGTCTTTCAAGCATTTAAATTAAAAACATATTCACTTTTTTTTTTACTTTATTCTTTGTTTTCTAACCAAACTCGGATCATGCAGGCACCAGCTATAGTTCAAGGTTGTTGTTTTTTTAAGGTTTCACCCAGCCGTCCCCAAACTGTCCCCAGTCCTTTAAACTTCCCCGGTTCAAACAGCCTGGGTGACACCGGATTGAACAGAGGTAATCCAGGCTCACTCACATGCTGCATTTCATCCCATGAAGACATTTCAACTATGATGTGTCAAAGAAACAGCAGCCAACTTGCAAAAGATCATTTGGTGTTTCAGTTTTATTTAATCAGTTTCTTCATAAAAACAAAAGGTAATAAAAGGTACTCCGGCGTTATATCAAATAGGGTATCATTCATATAAATACACAATGTTTACTGAAATTGTATGCTCTCTTTGTCAAAGTATTATTTAATACTCATTAAAATGTATGTACAAGTGATCTGGTGCTAAAAAATTGTTTTATGAGATATTTGATTTCTGCATTATCTAATAAAAAATTTGGTTTAAAACTACAGTATTTAAAAGTGTGCATTAACTAAATACCATTAACTCTTGAACTCTGCAGAGTGTGTAAAGGCTATGAACATTTTCTCTTAACAAACTAAGTAATCCAATTATTTGTCAAGATGAGATAATCATTCAGCTCATAGCTTTTTTTTAAAATGACTAACTGAATGTGGCAGAGTGCAGGTTAGGTCTAATTGAGAAAAAAAACAGCTAAATAAAACTAAAAGATGTATCAGCATCATCCCTCACTGAAATGTTATTTAGAAGTTGACCATATTTGACCAAATTCATTATTTACAAGGCATGGTAATGTGACGTTAATGAAGAATAAAATGGGGGAAAATATCCAAAGACAAATGCTATATTTTCTTGAATATAAGAATAATTGTTGATAAAATTACTCACTGTAGGAAACAAATATACTTCTTAGTATTCAACAATTCTATTTATACGATCTTTGCTAACATATTGATTTAAAAATATCCATGATGGATTGCTTTACCTGTTCACTATTACCACAGTTTCATCTGTAAACAATGTTTGAAAATAATCTCAAAGCACACACTGATATCAGCATGATGGCTGAATTTTCCTTTTAACAAGCAAAGGTCCTTAAAAAAACAAAATTATGGGAAGAAAGAACAGCAAAATTATGTGGAAAACTGGACCCATAGAAATGGAAGTGTTTTGACACAAAAATAAATGAAAGAATCATTTAAAGCACAATTAAAACTTTTTTGAATAAACTGCAAAATAATTATATGATTTTATCATATTTTGGCCCAAAAAGTAGATTAAATATATTGCACCACCGCTTTGAACTCTGAACATTTTCTTACATCCAGTCGCAAGTTTGACTTGTAACACAAGATGGCGCTACAAATCAATTATTTGCCATTAGCGCCTTCAGATCAATAACAGACCGTCTATGATTAAAACACAACCACAACAATTGTTCAAAGTATAATTTAGGAAACTTTCATAAAACACACAAAACACTAAATTTAACAAAAGTGTATTTCTCTCAGTTGCCAAAATATGTACATGTGTATTTGTCAACGGTGACGAAAGACATACCCGGATATCCTTGTTTGAAACACCCGCGTTGACACATGGGAAATGGAGTTTTCCATTTCGGTATTCTCCATTACGTTTTACGTCTGATAACGTGCCGTGGCACGCTCAAGTCTACGGTCTTCTGTGTCATGTAACCGCTAAGGTACGCATTTTACGTACGTTTTCTTTCTATTTGCTCGGTAGATATCCCCCTCTTCCTGCCTGGGCTGTTGGAGGTAAACCTTCGCGGTCGCGTCGGTATCTCTAATACCTGACGGAGTGGAAACAACCTGGACATTTTATGCGTGTGACACAAACGTAGGAAGTATGAGGCGGCAGCGTAGAGCGCTAAGCTAACGTCCGGAAAGCTAAAACGGGAGACTAAATTGCTCAACCCCGGGAGAAACTTAGCGTTTTTCATGCCATGGCTGTGGAAAGTTAACGCCGAGACGACCGAATAGCTGGAAATTTTCTTCACTCCCCCCGAGTTTAAGGTAAGAACAGCCGGTTCTTGAGAGGACTTCAGTTATCGGTCAAATGACTGAAAAAGAGTCTTTGTTTACGAGCTTCTCCCCGGCGTCCTCGTCTCAATGAGATTCTCCACACTTCTCATCCAGCTACAGTAAAGCTATTGTTTTAGTTCGTGGCGATTTGTTCAAACATTATGTGTAGATATGGTGTCCCTTTTATAGTTTTGCTCTTTACTTCCTCAAATTACCGCCGCTGGTTCTACAGTAGCTGACCCTGTTGCTGTTTGACTGTACAGGTTATCCAGACAATGTTTTGACTGGGTGACACCATGTTATTTCAAGACAGTAACCACTGGACTGTTTGCCTTTAATGTATGTCCACTGGTGGTGGGTGAGGTAAATAAAAATAGGGGGGGGGGGGGGGGGGGGAAGAAAGAAAAGACTTTGGCTCAGTCACGACATTTGGGACGGTGCAGAAATGACAACCGGTAAATGTGACATGAAATCAGCTCACATCCTCGCCTCACCTTCTTTCCTCGCGCTTTGTGTCCCAGGGGACTTAAAAAAAGAAACCCAATCTCTCTCTACCCCCCCCTCTGGCACCAGCTGTGTCAGCTGCCGCACGTCTGGGCCTCGCAGGGGGACAGGTGCTTCTTGGACAGGTGCACCCAGACAAAGGGTTACAGTCCTCTGACTCCTTTTTTCTCTCTTTCCCAGCCATTTTAAAGCAACACTGTGCAATCTGATTCTGCATTTATGCTGACTGTGCTTCAGCAAAAAAAAAAAACATGTTAAGCTGTTATTTTAAGTAGAAACACCTAAATGCTGTTGTAATCAAAAACTTAGCATTCACTGACAGAATCTTCATACCTAGAGTTTTAATTCAAGATGGCCATCACATTTATGAGCTGTGCTACACTCATGTATTGAGGATTACTCTCAGCTACTACCACGCCAAATTTAAGCGCGCTGTTTGTAAAATTTGACTGAGTTATAGCCATTTTTGCACTGACAAATGTTAAGTGGCTGTGGTTGATTTGTGGTGACTTCTGTAGCTGTTCGTCCACTGAATACTTTGAGAGTTTAATTCAAATCTGTCTAATGGTTCATGAGATATTTCGCTAACGTGACAGGCAAAAACAGTCTTTGCGCTTTGTGGTGGATGGTGAGATTCATGGTCATACATATACTGAACATCAGAAGCATTAATTGCACAACACCCAGTTTCTCTGGAACTGTAAGCGGAAGTGGTTTTCCAGGCAAACCAGTTTTAGGTTTTTCCTCTTTGTTTCATTGTAACAGCCTGGGTTTCTGGAGCGATCACACTATAGTGAAGCAGATGTCTTGAGAAATGAGTGAGCATGAGCTGCTAATGTTTAAGGGCTGACTCACAGCCTTCSTGCCTGTAAAACAAACGCACAGGAAAAATGGGATACGAGAGASCTCTTGTGATATGGATGTAAGGCAGGTTATGAGCTCGTTTTGCTGCAGCCTTCGTGCAAGAAGAAGAGACGAAGAACGAGGCCAAGTTATTTGAAGTGGAAGAGAGGAGAGGGGGAAACTTTGATGGCTTATCTGAGTAATGTGCAGTGACAGCTGAGCAATGATGTGTCTTCTAGGTTTAACCCTTCGCTCCCTTTTCTAAGCAGTAACCACTCTTTAGCTTCATTTAATTCAACCTGGACACGTGCAGGATTTGTTTTTCCTCTTGGTGAATAACCTAAAATCCATCACKGATTCATTACTTTATGATCCCATTCACTTTAATGAGTGAGACCTCCTCAGCTTGGCCTCGGTTCAGCTTTTTTCTTTTTTTTTATAATCTCTTGAACGCAGCCTCCCCTGCTTCTCTCGTCGAAGACCAGTGCGCATGCGCTCTGCTGACACTCCGGTAATCCGCTGGAGGAGATTGCATCCTCGTTCACTGCGCTCACAGGCTAGCAGTGAGGGAGAGGAGGCAAAAAAAAAAAGAAAAAAAAAAAAAAGAGATGAACTCGGGGACATGTTTAACAGAAGACCGGSTGGTTGAGGCTGTATAACGGGACCATAACGGACCGAGAAGTTCTGGCATATTATGGGATGGAGCSGTGTTAAAACTGTGAGGCGACAGAGCCAGCAGCCGGACCGGATCGAAGGATTTKATCCGGATGAAACGGACAACAGAGCGCTTTGAAATATGAGGATGAACGCAGAAAGAAACGGAGCCGGCGAATGAATTTGCGAATAAGTGTTTCTTGAACGGAACCTTTTTTTTTTTTTTTTAATCTCCGGATATCACCTCCTGAGCAACACACTCCCTGGCCTTTGGACCGCTGTGCGGACACGAGCGCACAGCACATTATTTAAACAAATACCGGTTGCACTGCTGCTAATAGGCTCAATTAAAATCAAAGCGCGAGCGTTATTTGGGATTATTTATCAAGCAACATTTTTCTAAGGTGGTAAACTGGCCCTGGAGAGGCTGATTTCATAATCACCCATTATCTAAACCAGATCAAAAACAATGTTTTACATCTTTCCTCGTTATTTTTTTTTTATGTTTTCCTAAACAAACTCCTGATGGAAATATATGCCTTGAAGTTTCTCCTCCCTGACAGTTTGGCTGCAGTGACACATGCCTCCCTCAGCTGCTCCGCCTGCAGAGACCTGTCATGACAGGCAGTCCGCATAAATCCAAGTTAATAAACTGGACTGGTGGGCTTTTGGCRGTGGGATCAGACAGAAATTAAGCTGTGGATCTCAGACAGCGAGGATCATCTCCCTGTTCTTGTTCTGGCAGAGCACAGCAGCATGACACACAGCAGTCCTGCTTGGAGGATTTTAGTCCTCCTCCCCTCCCAAAAAAAAAAGCAGAGTTTTAAACATCTTCATCTTGTTGAAGCTGTAAAGTAATTTATGTGCATACCCGAGTCTCTTTTTGTGTGTGTAGTTCTCTACACCAGAAATGATCTAATGTTAAGCAAGCCTCCACCTAATCAAACATGAAGTGTTTCCCTGTGGGGGAAATGCAGCTGAGGTGTTTTACTGTAAACCTCCACAGCTGTTAGTCAGACCGCATGTCTGAAAGAGGACACTTGRAGATTTGCATGCTTGTAGTTTTGCCAAAACCCCTCCCTTGAAACGCAATGCGTTGCATCTCTCCAGTGCCCGTGTTGTAAATAACTCTTAGTTGTGTGTGTGTTGTGTGTGTGGCAAGATCTGTATAAGTGTTAATTTAGCGTTCAGCATCCATTCAACAATGGATTGAAGGCATAAAGTTAGAACAGAAAACTGTGAACCCAAACTTCTGATCTTCTGAGCATGTGCAAAAAGAGAGAGACATGGGCCGATGTGAGGAAATACAAGTGGCTTTGCTGCCAAATGTTGCAAGCATAAAGTACAAGAAGAGAGAGAGCTACACAATTTTGCTTTAAAGGAATTACATTTGTACTCCTCTGAAACCAGCTGCTGCGTTAGGATCAGTGCTCTTTGCTCCAGCACTATGGGATACACATGTTTTTATCATCCCTGATCCCCCTGGAAATCTTTACTTTTTGTTCTCCGTCGCAACTCTGGATCCCTGGTCAGCTTTGTGTTGCAGGGATCCCAAATCCACTCCGTTCACGTCTCAGAGAGCGTACAGGGACTACTTTCTTGTCACGTGGCGATGGGGAGTTCAGCCTCGTCTCTCGCTGCCGAGACCGAGTCGGACCATGGCTTCGGCAGCACCCCCTACTCATCGTCGCCACCCACAGTGGGGTGGCTCAGAAACAGCCACAGCAGTCCGGTGTGGGGCACCACCTTCATCCCACGGCAGCAGCAGCACCCACTGCCTCATCGAGAGCGCAGGTAAGAGAGCAACCAGAGTGCACCGAGACCAGCTCTGGCCTTGTGGTTGTTCCACATACTGGACTGGAACATGTAAAACACACACCGCAGAATTTGTTCAAATTTTATGATTTTTGTTTTCGTTGCAAACTGATCCGTTGATCAGTTTGTTCCTTTTCATAAATCTTTAGATCTTTTTAGAGCAGCTTTCTGGCTGAGGGATTCAGTAACTTTCCTGCCACGGATCACGTCCACTGCTTCACCAGAGCTTATCTAATCAAAGCCTGCATTTTGATGTTTGGCCATGATGCACCCAAAATCTGTCTAAGCCGGATTTAAAAAGGAAAAAAAAAACTACAGATAAATAAATAAATAAAAAAACCCACCTTCTCCCAGCTCAGCTGTACAGTTTGAGTTGCAGTTTTAGCTCTGAGTGAATTGCTTGATTGAATCGACTAACATAACCTTTGTAAGCTAAAAACCAGAGGTAATCACTAAATTGATTTTTTTGTTTGTTTTTTAAGCTTGGTGACCTGTTTTGATCTTTTTTTTAGATGKTCAAAAATCTTGATTATAAGATGGATTAATCATTGTTCGCCACTGAAAGGCAAACGTGGATAATGTTTTTGTCTACCTGTGTGTCTAATATCTAAATAGCTCATGAGCTACTGGATAAGTTTTAGGCCATAACTTGGGATCACCTCTGTCTGTCTGTTAGCAAAATGTCTTGTCAAAATGTAGCCAGAAGGAATTTAGTGAAACTTTTAGAAAACAATTGGCAGGTTTTTAAATGCTACTGTGGTTAGAAGCTTTTTAGTGTTTTTATTGTTTAACTTTCTGAAAGTTGCTCCAAGAACGTACTCAGCAGTTCTGTGATTAATTTGTCTGAACAGATTATTTGGGGGAGATTCGTAGTATTCGTATTGACTGAGCTTCTGAGTCGGTCTGAAATATCACTGCCTTGTAAAATTGAGTGTGTCAACAAGAAATCTAATGCGGCAAGAATCTGTCATTCTGATTTAAAGTCAGCTGACTTGACTTTCCCTGTATGATCCTCTCAGCCACCCTCATAGAAACTTGTTTTGAAGCATTTCCTGCTTTTCCATTAATTTTTTTTTTCTTGTTCGTTTCCTGCGGGGTGGTTGTGTCTCTCAGAACGAGAACAGGCAGTTGATATCGACCGCCTGAAGTGTATTGAAGTTGTTGCTGAGTCACTCAGGGCATCATGGTCTGGTTGTTAGTTATTGATTTTCAGAGAGCCCGATCACATTTCCCCACAATGGATGTCATTATTTATTCAGCCTCGGTCTCCCATTGGGCTTTCATCTTTCTTGATTCCTGCCGACTTGCTGTCGTTGGCCTCCTTGCAGTTGCTCCTCATTTAATAGTTCAGGCTGTCATGGCTTTTGCTGCCCATTAAAGTATTTTTTTAGATATTGACAGGCTTTGTTTTATTTGGCTCAGTGTTTAAACAGCTCAGTTTGTAAATGAAACGTGTGTAACTCAAAGCATAATGCTCCATCACCAGACTCCTTCCTGAGTCATCTTGGCACATAAACACATTTATATACATTACACTCCATGGCTTTAAAGCACGGAGGGACATCCACTTGTTCATATGCATCAGATGTTTTTAGTAAGACGTTGTTGTTGCACTTGAATCATGTTTTCTCATCGTCCCCCACTCAGCCTTTTTCTTACATACACAGTAACATTCATGCACATATACACACACCGCTGTGTGAGGCTAACAACGTTAGGCAAGCTTTGCTGAGCTGTGACAGAGCATGAAATATGGAAACAACAGAACACTACGAGCCAAGCATATTTTCAGCTGTTCTCATCTAGTTTTTCGCTCTTATAAGGTGTCCCATAAAACGTTTTTCCTGTTGTCTTTGTTTATTTAACTTTGAGGACTGAATAGACCATCTTGGCTTCGAACCTTTTTTTGTTTTTGGACCCTGGAAGATATTTGAGCTGTGAAAGTTGACTCGTATCTAGGGATCTGATACTCAGTATCGGTATCGATGTCATTATGGCCATTTTTTGAAAATCGGGTAGAATCTGATTTAGTCATGGGATCGGGCCGATCCAGTTTTCGTGACAGTTTTCAGCATCATCATGCTTTACAACTGCCGTTAAGAAGTCAACCATGTCCACAGTGTGGGAACACCTTTCAATGGAAAACAATGATGCTGAAACTGCATCTTGCAAAATCTGCAAACTGGATGTTTCTCATGGTGGGAACAGCAGGGCTCGCTTTAATACTACCAATCTTGTCACTTGGAAAGAAATAAAGCTATCGGTATCAGAAAGACTAATCATTAAAAAAWTCTGATTGTATCGGGAGCGAAAAAATCTGGATCGAGACATTCCTACTCATAACTTCTTAGACACAGAACTGTTGTTGTGTGAGCTGCAGTGTGTCTTAGCTTTAGAGTTTTGATCTCAGCTCAGTTTTAATTAAAAGTACCACAGTGCAGTTCAACATGTTGTTGTAGTGAACAATGCTGCAGGGCTTCGTTTTATTTCAGCAACTTACTGCTTGTGTTTTTGAAGTGTTTTAGTGCCTTGGGGTTCTTGAGACCTTAGAGTCTGATTGTTACTTGTTCTCCAGAGCCAGTCCTTGTGTCTTTACTGTCCCAGCATGATGGATGGTGGCGTTTATCGCAGCTCCATTCCACTGGCTCGCCTTCCTTCTTAATTGGATTAAAAGGGTCCGCTTGGGCTCAACAAGCATGGCCACTGGCCGTGTTTATGTTTGAATTATTTCAACATGTCCTCCCTCGCAATTGCCTGTCTGATGAACACGGGGCCACGTCAGGACATCATAAATAGATTTGGCACACAGTCATTGTCTGACAGTGTGGCTTTCTTTGGAAAACGGAGCCTTTATGCAGCTAAAAAATAGCCTGTTGGCACCGCGACTGACATGATTCCAAATTTCCCCATTCTCGTTGCCATGGAAATCTGTAGCATATGCTCAGTAACCTAATTCTATCAGGCCCCAGATAAGACCACACAGGGTTACCTGGCCTTGGAAAGAAAATTGTGTACACAAGTGGCACCTCTGGAAAAAAAATCATTAAAAGATTCTAGGAAAGTTTGGATTTTGCAATTTTTTAGGRCAAATCTGCTTTGCAGGGTTAAATTAGTGTTGTAACAGGAAGTGAAACTTTCTTTGCTGCTGTTTGAGGCATCCTTCTGGCTGGTGGCAGTGCTGTGTCAGCAGTTCTCTTGCCCTCCAGCTTTGGGTACCTACTGGAACTTTAGATCATTACAGCAGAGGCAAAGCTGTGCCTGTGTTGTTTCTTCCCTTTCTTTGTCTCTGATTCGGGGACTTTTGCCGTGCTCTTTTGCTTTGCTTCTTACTATCAGTGTCAGCTGAAACTCAGTCAGATGGTTTCCTCCTTTTTAAAGATTCAAATGTCTGAAGCTGTCTCCCCTGCTGAGTGCTGACACATTCAGCTTTCTAAAAGGAGCACCGGTTGTGAAATATTCACAAAGGCCACAGCCAGAGGTCAAAAGCTGCTGTGTTTTTGCCTCATCTCCCCTTTGGGTTTTTTTTGTATCTCCTAAATGACTGAGAGTTATTGTTTTTGGATGTGAGACCTTGATTAAAAGATTCATGATCTATAAAGGCTTAAACACAAAACTCTAATAAACTCTAACTTTTTTTTGCAGTTACAAGTCAAAATGTTATAAAATATATTAATTTGTTTATTTTTTGTCAGCTTGTTTTTTTGCTAAAAAAATTGGAAATTTCTACAACATTACATCTTTTATACAGTAATTAATTAATGTATTAGAACAATATTTGCTCAGTTTTCTAAACTTGCCGTTATGTATAGCGTTGACCATGGCTATCATTTTAATGTCTTTCCCTCAAGGTCATTTTTCAAAAGCCCTCTTGTATGGTTGATATTTTTTTAATACAGTGAAAATCTTTCTTGTCATTTTATTAGCACTTCTCCAGTTATCTGTGGGCTGTCCCTTGTGGCTAAGGCATCACTGTCATCGATGCCTTGTATCACGTCACCCAGTTTCAGGGTGTCGGTGTAGAGACTATCTCTGCTTAAGTCTTTGCCTGAGACACTCCCCTCAGATAAGTAGCAGTTAGTGGTGCGGTTCCACTGCTTTCGTTCGAACAATTCTGGACCTGTCGGGGCTGATTAATGACTCATATCAGGCCACAAGTTTTTACCTGGAGGATGGAAAGAGGCTTTTAAAGTTCAAGCTCAATTCCCTGACCCCTAACTTAATGTCTCTTCCCAAAGAGAGGGAATAAATGTTTGGTGGRTGTAAATCATTAAATGAAAAGGTTGCCCTGATGAAGTGAAAAAAAGTTTTTGCCAGTAAGGTTTTTGCAGACTGTCTGCTTACGTTACGAAAGAACGTTTTGTTTTCTAAAGTGTGATTTAAGATATTGTGAAAGGGTTTATCTAACACCTGTCATGTTCAGATACAGCAACATTCATAAAGTAATATTAGGTATCTCTAGCTTCTTTTTTTAAATGACCTTTCAGCTGATAGTTACTTTTGGTCTGACGTTTGTATTTTCATGAAAGAAATGTAAAACAGAAAGCATATAACAAATTATTTTCTGACAAACATTGATTTAAAAGACTTGTCAGAACTCAGCCTCAAAATACTGTATATTAGACTGTGTATTGGCAAGAATTTGGTGATATACATATCGTGACATGGGTCTCGATACGATCTATTACGATATATTGTGAGACCGTAAGCAAGACAATATATTGCAATTTTTTTCTCTAAAAATTCTAATTTTAAAAACCTCAGTATGTATTTTTTATGTCTTATACTGTATTTTTTATTTCATCCACATTTTTTTGGTTAGGCCAAGTGTTCCATTAAAGTTTGATAACATATTTGTGGCAGCTTTAAGTGTTATTAATTTATTATAAAAATATGGTCATCCACCACACTAACAGTGGTCTGTATCTTGTTCTGAATTTCAGTAAATGGATGAAATGAGGCTGCTAAGTCTGTGTTACTGT